AATATCACAACGACTGGCTGCGAGCTGGCGAGCACTACATCCCCGTGCTCCCCGACCTCTCGGACCTCCTGCAAAAGATTGAGTGGGCGCAACAGCACGATGCGGAGGCGAGGAAGATAATGGAGAGGGGGAAGGAGATGGCGCAGAGGGTGATGACGGATGGACAGAATGATTGTTATTTCTTCGCGCTGCTGCTTGAGTGGGGGCGGTTGCAGGAGATTTCCAGGAATGCCAGCCTCGGCGTGGGTCGTGGTTAGTGGCAGGTGCTATCTTCGGCTTTTTTCGGACTGTGAACTCTAGAAGATAGATCGCCCCTCCCTATTCGTATATTATATTACACACGTACAATAGTTTAGATACTGCATAACTCCTGTAGATTTGTATTTCAATGCATCATGGAAACCGAATTTGAGATATGTATACTTCAGTCCAGGGTAACTCTGGAGGATTGGCACTTGTTTTTCTTCTTAGGGTCTTTTGGGGACATTATCAACATCAATTACGTTGATGTATTCGTATCAGCTTTGGCAAACAAACTCTGAATCAAACCTCGTCTCTCCCATCCTCTGACCTTGTCGCATCGCATCACGTAAGAAATTGCGAAGCATTCCAGGGATGGAACGAGGCCGTCATAAATATCCTCCCACTCCCAGTCACTGCCGTCGACCCGTAAAGATGATAGGGATGTGAAATGAGAAATACAACGTGAGAGATCTTCATCGCCCTGTTGTGGTATATCAACCATGAACAGGTGCGCGACAAGCGGACCGATGCATTCTATAAGATAATGGGGGGGGGGGGGGGTCAAATCCTTGAACCTCCTGGAGCTCGGCTGTGTCAATGACTGTGGAATTCTTGAAGAACCATTTGGCCAGCGATGGTGACAGTGGAGTTTGTTGTAGACGAAGATTTTTCAGGTTCAAAGTTGGGACAGCGATGTCATGCAGACCATCCTCTTCGTCTTCATTGACGACACAGCACAATTCCATCACCTCCAAGTGCGGGATATTGGCAAGCAGCGGCGCGATGGGGCGAATTTGTTCATTCTGAAAATGGATGCGGCGAAGATATTTGAATGTCGGGACAACAGGTATCCCAGCAAATGACAGGAAGTCAAATGTTCCTCGAACCTGCCGTAGACGCGGAGAACGCCTTCCGGATTCTAATACTTTTTTACAAGTTTTCAACCCATTGGATTGCCAGCCTGCACAATAGAGGACAATGTAAAGCGCGGTTAAGAACGAGAGGGAGAGTGAATAAAGGAACTTTACTTAAGTGCCATTTTATCCGGGTCGCACTTTACGGGACATTACTGTAACAGGTATGTCGCGTTGTGTAGGCTTCGGCTTCCGCGTCGACCGCCGTGGAGCAAGCGTGTCGTCCACCTGGGAGTGTGGAACAAAAGGTGCGTGATGTTGACGTCCTGTTTGGTTGTGCTGTCGTGTGATCAACATGTGGCTGTTTCTCGCCCTTGAACTTTCCTCCAACTTTCCTCCAACCCTTGATTCGGACCATGTCCGACATGGTAAGCACGAGGTTGACCGCCTTTTGGATTGGTGGAACACGAATGTGTTCGGGAGCACTCCGCAATGGGGACTGTATGATAGTGAGGCTGAACCCGCCTCTTCCTCGGTCGCTCGCACCATAGCCCGCCGCGCTGCTCGCGAGCTTGGAGCTTAGTTAGGTCATTCGTTTATTGAATATCAGCGCGTGTTTCTGGACCCATTTGCGAGTGCCCCAAAGTACAATTGAGAGAATATTATCCTATAATACTGCACCCCTCGAGTCTCGACAATACTCATTCCATACAACAACCGCTCGGAATGGCATAGAAGCCCTTCTATGTTGTTGCGACACTCACAGTTCACACAATAGTTATGGGTTCTGTGATAACCCCACATCTAGCTCTTCACATACCAGCGATCACAATCTACGTCACCAGAATTGTGAGGATTGTGAGGAATGTCAGTATCGTATTCGGTTCTGAGCGCTCGCGACATTATTCCGGATTTAGTGATGTCCTGTCGTTACATACCTACCTCACTGATAGTGAGCCGCTCACATCAAACCTCGAGTGTATGAATTATCGCCTAGGAGAATATAAAGAGATGTCGTTATTCAATGACTCCTACTCCTTGCCGACTCCTCGGACTCGGATAACTTTTACGAGGCGTGCCGCCACGCTCCTAAAGCGGGGCCATGCCGTACATTCATATGTAGTGCGTGGCCTTGGCAAGTTCGGCGAGCGTCCACGCAACGTAGAAACTTGCCGGAAGCTTGTAATCTGACTCAGCCTCGGTCCGTACCCAGATCTATAAAGCGACCCATGCTATAGCAGTGAGTTTACTGCACCTCTTCTACGCCTCCTCTCAACACTCAATAAATCACAGAATGGCTCAGAACGGCTCCACTCCCCACTTCACCCAAAGTCCGGCTGACCAGTCCCAATGGCGTGCACCCACTCTGCAGCAATCATCGAATATGAGGGGACTCCTCAGGTCTGGACGGATGGCTATCGGAAACTGCTTGTCATACCCCAGTCGCCATGTTGCAAAATCTCTCGCGGTCACTGGAGCAGACTGCTGCTGGATTGTGAGTTCTGTATTTTAAAGGCGCACCTCAGAATTCAATAGTGAAATAGGACGCGGAACACGTCGCCTGGTCGCAGAAGCAACTGGTGGAATGCATTCAGATCATCATCCATGAAAGCGGCGGGAAGATGATTCCAGTGGTCCGACAGCTTTGTTTTGGCTGTCATTAGTTGCTAATAATGACGTCTAGGTCCGCGTTCCTAGCAAAACTGCATTCGACTATATGGTACGCTTTATTGCTTCTCAGATAAACTTCGAATTTAGGCCTAGTTTTAGGCCTGGTGCTTGGATGCTGGCGCAGGGGGCATTATCATCCCCCACCTTGATACACCGGAAGAGATGAAGGCGGTAATCGGCGCTTGCCGCTTCCCGTAAGCTCAATGCCCGGATTAACGTGCCTTACCTTACAATTTTTCTCAGCCCTAATGGTCATAGGTCCTTCCCTCCTTTCACCTTTGTGAGTTTATATATTTTGACGACTCGGCGGTGGTTAATACCCATTTTGATAGATTCCCGGGGTGACCGACGCTACCCCGGAAGGCGAAGCCCTCTTTTCGCTTGCGAATAAACATGTCGCCATTATCCCCCAAATCGAATCTCGCGTGGGAATCAAAAACCTTGAGGCAATCGTCAGCCTGGATGAAGTCGACGCTTTCATGATCGGAGGTAAGCTCCGTGAACTTATTTCTCTTTGCTCAGCTACCAATGAACAAATCAGCTGCCGATCTGCGCTTGGACATGGGGTTGACGCTCAACTGGACTGGAGATGAACCCGAATTCGTTTCGGCACTGGACAAAGCCAGCAAGGTTTCGAAGGAACGCGCGAAGCCTCTCGTCGGCCTCGCGATTGGAGCAGATATGGTAAAGCTGCGCGTCGAGCAGGGTTTCCGCCTGATAATTGTGGCCATGGACGTTACGACCTTGGTATACGGGACAATTCGGGACGTGGGTGATGCGAGACAAGCTGCGGAAGAGCACATGGGGAGCCTTTACAAGTTGAACGGTAAACATGGCAAAGCAATTTAGATCATCCTATTTCCATTAGAAAGCTACAGTATAGAAAGTTTTTGTTTCTCTCTTCTTTTTTTTCAGAAAACGATCTAGTATGGTCTGACTGGGGAAGTGACGGAAACCTCAGAGGGCATTTAAATTGAACGCGTCAAGTGAAACAAACACAATCAAGTATTTTGTTAAATATTTTGAACATTGCTTAAGCATCTCTTCAAAAGATATCCACCTAAGTTTTAATACAAGCACGATGCGTAATAATCCTGATTCCTACGAGAAAGATATCTGGAGACAGCGAACACCTCCTACTCAAAGCATCGACCTGGCGACAGACACTGGGACGGAATGACGAAACCCCTAGAACTGTTGTTTTCTGGCCCCATACGGCCGGATCCGTCGACAATGACGTCAAGGAAGGGAATATGCACCGGTAGTGCATGGTGCACGCTGCCATTAAATGCGGAGAGCGAAGAGACGCGTTTCAGGCAGATCGGGGTTCGACTTCCCACTGGCGCATACACTTTGGGGCGCTGTATTTTTTTTTCTAGCTGTTTTCAAGCCTCCTTAGCTTTTTTTTGTCTGTCCCGAGGAACTAGATATTATGTCGACAGATTATTGGGAAAGTGCTGTGGATTGTGGAAGGCTCGGGCACTGGCTATACCAAAGTCGAACTACAGTGATGGCACCGGCCATTGGATGATTTAGAGCTGTATAAATCAGGGCCAGGAAGAATAGATATAAACATTGGTGGTGCATGGTGCACGCTGCCCTAAAATTAGAAAGTGCAGGGGATGTCAGGCAGATCAGGGCCCGTCGGTGCATGAGCTCCTGGGAACTCATTTTTTTCTCTCCTATTTGCCTTCGCGCTTGCTCCTCACATTTTCGTTTGCCGCAAAGGGCTAGATATTGTATCGATAAATTTATTGGGAACGTGGTGGGAGGAATTCAACTTGAAGAAGTCCACCGACTGTAAACGGTATTGGCCTGGCATCGGCCATTATGTGAATCACACAGTGTGATTTAGAGCTGTATAAATCAGGGTCAGGAAGGATGGGAATAAGCACCGGTGATGCAAGGTGCACGTCCCCGTTATGTAGGTCTTTGAATCTTGATCTATATCGTCTCAATCAGGGAAGAGCGGGCTTCGAGTCCTCGCCGGTGCATTTCTTTCTTCTAACTGTCTTCATTGACACACCTCCTTGCAGATTCGGAGTGTCATCTTTCTCGGTACGCTCGTATTACTGGAATATAAAAATGAAGTAAAGTCTTGTGAAGGCATTATCGACGTTGAAAAATTGGGTATGTACTGCGCAGGTAGCGTTTCGACCCGAGTTTAGTTTGGCCATCGTGCGAAATAGTGTGATTTAGAGTTGTATAAGTGAGGGTCAAGGATCGATATAAGCACCGGTGGTGCATGGTGCATTCCTCATTCAATTTCAAGGATTTCATATTAACCATTATTGAGGTGGTACGGGGTTCGATTCCCCGCCGGTGCATGTATGTGTCCCTCCGATTTTTTTTCTGGCTGAGTTCAAGCGCAGTCCTCAGCACATTTGTTAGCTTCTCCCGGATTATATATATCGACAGATTCATGTGATTGAAGAATCTGGCACTGCCAGAACTGATGATGTTGATTCGAGTTTAAGGAATGGACCTAAGTACTGTGATGCCATTCGCCATTGAGTGATTTAGAGCTGTATAAAACGGGGTTAAGAAGGATGGCAATGAGCACCGGTGGTGCGTGGTGCACGCTGCCATTAAATACATAATGCTCCCCGTCGCAGGAAGACCGGGGTTCGACTCCCGACCGATGCATTTGGAGAATTGAAATCCCCCCCCTTTTTTTTTACTGTCCATTTTACAGCGAGTGACTGAAAAAATCTGCGGCCGGCCCTCCTCTCACCTTTACTTGACCCTCGATGTTGAACTTTTGGGACTGGTTCAACCATTATATTGCCGAAAAGTGTAATGGAGTGCCGTGTAAAGTCCTGTTAAGAAGCAGAGGTATAAGCACCGGTGGTGTACGGTGCACGCTGCCATTAAATATAGGAGCATAATTCCGTTTCAGGCAGACCGGGGTTCGATTCCCCACTGGTGCATGGGATTGCTCCGTCCAGAATCCTTCCCTTTTTTCATACGTTGCAGCATATTTTTGTCTTGCCTCGGGGACCTAGATAGTGTATCAACGGATTATTAAGATATTATGTCGACAGATTATTGGGAACGTGGCGGGAGGGATTCATCTTGAAGAAATCAACCGACTGTAAAATGACATGATTAACCATCATGCGAATCACACAATGGTCCACAGTATGATTTAGAGTATATAAAAGGGAGTCAGGAAGGATGGGCATGTGCACCGGTGGTGCAAGCTTAAGGAGCACGTCCCCGTTACCTACCAGCTGTGTAGATGGTTACAGTCTAAATCAGGGAAGAGCGAGGTTCGATTCCCCGCTGCATACTGAAATCAAAGTCGGAGTATTTTTTCCCCCCTCTACCCGTTTTCACCAGTCCTGGCGCAATCCTGAAGTCGTGGTAAATGTCGTTTTCTCCGGTCAGCCAATATATAGTTTAAAAATAAAATAAAATACGCAAAATCCCGTGAAGGCCTTGATGTTGAAAGATCGGGTCCTGCCACGCAGGCCCGAGATCACTCGTACTGTGGTTATGGTACTGCTGGCCATTTTGTTATTTAGAGCTGTATAAAAGAGAGTCAAGAAGGATGGATATAAGCACCGGTGGTGCATGGTGCACGCTGCCCTAAAATTTGAAGCGAGCAACTTGATGTCAGGCAGATCGGGGTTCGATTCCCCGCCGGTGCATTCATTCCACCGCTTTCTTTTTCCCCAACAATTTCTCAGCAAGCTGCGGAGTCTCGCCCAGTACGCAAATTTAATCCCGCCCACGCGCTTGAATTATCTCCGCTTTGTAATTTATCGGCTTCTCCCGAACACTGCCACACGCAGCTCTTGTCTGTCACTTTGCTTTTCCGCCATGGCCTCCTCCGGGCTCTCCCGCCGACGCGCCAATGCCCCGACAACAACAACACACGACGACGACGACAACGCCCCCTCATCCCCGCCCGCCTCTTCCACCCCCGCAGAAAAATCGCCAGAGGCGCAGCTCGAATCTTTGGGTCTGACAGGCGGCGCACATGCGGGTAGCGCCTTCGCCAATGGATCGCGCGTCGCCTACGACCCGCGCGATCTGCTTCTGAGCTCGCAGGAGAGCGCTGCTTTGGGGGGCAGCGTGCCGAAGCTCACGCTCATGGAGGAGGTGCTGCTGCTCGGTATCAAGGACAAGCAGGGGTACCTCAGCTTCTGGAACGACAACATCAGCTACGCGCTGAGGGGGTGTATACTCATGGAGCTGGCGCTGAGGAGAAGGATTGGGATTGTAAGGGATCCGATGAGTGTAAGCAAATCCACCTATACATGGACGGTATACTAACCGCCGCATACAGCGGCGGACCCCCCTGACGGAGCGACCTGTGACTGTGCTGTCTACGCGGCAGACGGGCGAGACGCTGCTCGACGAGACGCTCAAGATGATGAAGCAGACAGAGGACTCGGGCGAGCGCATGGGCGTCGCAACCTGGGTCGATCTCCTCAGTGGTAAGTGTCGTGTGCCGATTTTTATATTCCCTCCCTTCTCTTCCTCTTCCCTTCACGTTCGCCTTTCCCTCCTTGGTTCTGGCGGTGCAAACGCACCATCGCATCGCGGGTATCACTGCCCGCTCTTTTCCTCGCAGCGCGGCCCCATACTTCCCCGCGGGCTTATCGCATCTTGTGTCGTCGCGCATTACGACACCCTCGCTGGCGGCGGGAGCAGCTGCCTTATGCGCATGCCCATTCCGTTCCCAGCGTCCACGTCCTCGGGCGCCTATCCTGCGCGCACCGCTCTGCCAGCGTGCGTGCGGCCCCGTTCGTATGCCCATTCGTATACGGCCCATGCCCAGACTCGGCGCCTATTCGACGACTGCGCAGCGCTTAGCGCGTATGTGCGCTCGCTCGGGGAGGGGGGATGGGCAGCTTGACTGTCTCCGTGGGACGTGGGAGGAGCTTCGTGCTCTGCTATCGCCGTCGTTTTGCGCGCTCCCCTTCTCTGTTCTGTCTGCCTGCCTGTCTCCCATCTTTCTGCCTGTATTCCTTCTTTTCACCCATCTATCTACTTCTCGTGTCTGTTTCCCTTCTTTCCACCGTCCGTTATACTCCCTTTCATCTACACCACACTTCCGCGTGCGCGCGGGGCCGAAGGGGGCGGGTGCTGCGTCGCCGTCGTCGTCATTGCGGGCACGGGTGGGGAGGGTGCTCTGCATTGCTGCGTCCGCCCGCGCCCCTTTTCCTCTCCTTCCTTGTGATTTGGACTGGCGGGGCGGGCGCGAGTCCTCCTTTCCCTTCCTTCCCTCTCCTCCTCCTCCTTGCTCCTAAAATTTTATTCGCTGGTGCCGGGCGGCGGCGTCGTCGTCAGCGGTCTCGTTTGGCGCCTCCCTGTCGTCATCGGCTTGTGAGAGGTGGAGTCTGCGCGGGTGCTGGCGTCGTCGTCGGCGCGGGTGCTGACGGGGCAGGAGTAGCCCTGCGCGTTTGGGGCAGCGTGGCGCTTGTGGTGCCGGGCGAGACGAGTCCGCAAGCGCGGGGTCTGTACGGCCGCGGCGGGCGTACGATGCTCCGTAAGCGCGGGTGCCTGTAATGCTACGTTTCCGTGCGCGAGAGATGCGAGGCGCGGACGGGCCCTGTGCGCGGTAACCCCTTTTTCCCAGGGGTGGTGGGTGTGTAGTGCGGTCGGCGGGGGCGATGCGCGGCGTTTCTTGTGCGCGAGAGATGTTGGATGCGCGAGGCTGGCCTGCACGCGGTACCGCTTTTTGCCCCTGGTGGTGGGCGTGTGTGCGGTCGGCGGGGACGATGCGCGTGGGCGTGGGCGTGGGCGTGGGCGGGTGGACACCCTCCCCCTCTGGGTGGGGGGATGCTCTTCCTCTATGGGCGGGGGCCTTCCCCCACCCAGGGTCGACCGGTACGGCTGCCCCGACCGACCGCGCCTGCCTGCTTGCGATTGTGCTGGTGGGGCGCCTTCCTTGTTCTGCGCACGGGATGCGGGGCCCTCGCCGGCGGGGTGCCCTGGCGCATCGCAGGAGCCTCCCACACCCATGTTACCGTGCGGCGTTTCGAGGGGTCTCCCCGTCCCGCACCTGTGTTTCGAGCACACCCGTCCCCGCGCGCGGTCTGCGCCTCTTTTGACGGGCCCTGGTTGGCGTGTGGGGCAGCCGCGTGGGCGTGCGTGGGCGCGGGCGCGGGGAGGCGGCGCTGCCCCTCGCGGCTGCGGTGGAGCACAAGAGGTGGGCTGGCTGCGACGAATCGCGCTCGGGGAGGCGGACGCTGCTGCGCGTGAAGGTGGAGGGGCGTGCGGCGTGTTTTGGGGCGCTGCGGGCGTGACGGGGGTCTCGTATACCGGCCACGTCTACGAGCCATGCGTGCCGGCCGTGACTCCAGACGTGCTTGCGCGCTGCGTCGATCGGCGGCTCCGCTGCCTTGGTGTTCGGCCTCGGCGTGGGGGAGGCTGGGGATCGGTGGCAGTGCAGCTTGCGCGGTGGGGCGACGCGCTCGCGGGGTGCCCCGGCGTTATGTCGGGTTGGGTCGCGGCCGCGTCCGCGTCGCGCGTTCGCAAGCGGCAGGCAGGCCCTTCTCTTGCCGCTGGCGTGGTGGGCCTCCTGCGGGCGTTTTCGCGGGGTGTCCCGGCGTTATGTCGGGTCGGGTCGCGGCCACGCGGGGGGTCGTCGCACGGGCGGGGCGGGACCGTTCCTCTCGGTCCCCTCGAGATGCTCTCGCTCGTCTCCCTCTGTGTTCACCCCCTCCCCTGTGCGCCGTCTGCGCCTGTGCTGTGTGGGGCGATTTCTGCGCGCGCCCTCCACTCCGTTTTATTTTATTTATTCGCGCCTGTTTCGTTGCTTTCCTGCTTCGTTACTCTCTTCCGTTCCCTGTTTCGTCCCCCCCCCCCCCCGCCATAATATTATCCTCTCTCCGTTATAATCTGATAATCCCCGCGCATCGCTAACTTCTTGTTGCAGGCGAGACGTGGAACGTGCTCAAGATCGGCTTCCAGCTCAAGCAGGTGCGCGAGCGGCTGGCGAAGGTTAGTGATTCGATTTGTTTCTTTTATTCGTTGCGGTTTTTGTTCGTTGCCTGCGATGTTTTGTTTTGTTTTGTTTTTGTTTATTTGTTGGCGCTTCTCTGGGGTCGCTTTTTAAAGCAGGGGGCTTCTTTATGCGCTATTTGTTTTCCGTGTTTCGTTGCTGGGAGTGTTGAGCTGACGGATGGATTACCTTTTTTTTATGCTCCTACATCTTCAACTCTGACTCCGTATTCCGATTCGTCCATCACCGTTATGCTTGATTGCGACCCGACACCCCCAACTCGACTTTGGATCTTGATGGACTCGACTCGATCCAACCCAACTTGATTCGATATTCGGTTGGTCTTTGCCTATGGAACAAACTCCCACCCGCTCGACTACGACTTGGACCTTGACTCATACGACATGGACTCGACGTGCCTACGCTACTGCGCTGGCCAATTGAATATAACATCTCTCCTCCCCACGATTTGTTTTTTTATTTTTTATTTATATAAAAAAAACCCCGCCCATCCCACAGGGCCTCGTCGACAAGGGCGTCCTGCGCACGGAGAAGCGCAACTTCTTGCTGTTCGACATGGCGACGCACCCCGTCGCGGACCCCGCGTACAAGGCGGCGCTGATTGCACGGTTGACGGCGCTGTTGACGGCTAGTACGAGGTGCGTTTCAAGGTTTTTTGTGTTGATTTTTTTTGGGGGGTTGGGTTGGGTTTTTGGCGTTGGCCTGTGGGCGGGAATGGACGGGATGTTTTGACGGTTGTTTTTCGGAATAATCGGTCTCATTTCCTTTCTTCTCTTGCATATATCCTCCTATCAACCTACTAACGTTCCTTCTTCCCATAATCACACAGCGCCATTCCCCCCGCGGCGCTGCACAAGGACGAGTCTACGCAGTGCCGCGTTACGCGCGCGGTGTGCCTCGCGTGCGCGGCGTACACCGCGAGCGTGCTGGACAATGCGTTTGGGCGGCTGGGGTACGAGGAGCGCGAGGCGGCGTTTGGGAGGTGCGATGAGATTCTTGGCGAGTTTGGGGTGTGGCCGTTTGGGGGCGGCGGAGGGTGAGTGGTTTTTCTTTTCTTTTCTTTTTGGGCTGCTGCGGTTTTCTTTCTTTCTTTTGGCGCGTTTCTTTTGGGCGCGCGCGCGTTTGGGGTTTTTTGGTCGGCGCGGGCGCAACCCGACCCGACGCGTCGGCCCGCTATTTGGGGTTACACCCTGCGCTTTTTTTTTTCTAGCGAGTTGCTCACCCCCCTCCTCTTTTCCCTTCCATTTCGCAGAGACACCAGCAACACCGGCGCTGCCGCCAAGCGGCGCGCATCGCGCATCGCTGCGGGGAGCGGGAACGTCGACCTGGGGCGGGAGAGCGTGCGGGGGCTCGTGCAGGGCGCGCGGGCGGAGAGCGTGGGCGGGGAGGAGGACGGCGGGTTTGAGGTCGTGGCGGCGGTGCTGGAGGTGTTGAGCAAGCTGGATTCGTTGCTTTGAGGTGGCGGAGTTCGGTTGGGGTTTTGTTCGAGAGAAGTTTGGTGGTGGGGGGGAGGGGGCGGGAGAAGCGGCGGGTGCGTCACGTCCGATGTTTAATTATAATCCCGTACTCATTCATTCCCTTCATACTTGTTTAGACATGGATTCATACATGCACACACAAAATTCTCGGTTTCGGCTTCGTCTATTATTTCTTTTCGTTTATTTTGTTGCTCTC